GGCGACCTTCTTGCTGCGAGGCAGCAGTGCTAACCAACTGTGCCACCTTGCAGCCCTTACATTAAACTCTTCTGAGCTTTTTTTTGTTGTTTTCATTATATTTGTCCAAATAAATGTACCTTTAGTTGTACCAGACATTAAAATGAACAAGAAATTGAAGACAACAATGGTGGTCTACTCATTTTGTCCATGACTGCAGCCTGCCTGTATTACATCCAGAAACTAAATTTGTGCTATAAGGTGTAACAAAATGTTCTCTCCCACATGCTCCACTTTACGTTCCACTTGGTTACATCAGTTTTGAGAAACAGAAATATGTGGAGCTCTGCTCTAAATGTCCAGGATGATGAATCTGTGGCCCCCAGGACTTACAGGAAGAACCTAAAACTGGCTCCTAATGTGACTCTGACAGAAGAGCAAAGTGTTGGATTCATATCTGATTCTTACAGTAATGTTTTTCAGTATGTCACCGAATAAAATTATGGATTTTGCAGAAACATTAACATACCTCCTGCAGTCTTGTCTGCTGGCCACAGCTGATGTGTGTCTGATTCTTTCCTTTGACTTTATTAAATACCTGCAGCATCACACAAGATCAAAAATGATACATGTTTCTTTAAACTGAGAGTGATAGTCGCAAATATTAAAAAACATCGTAAATTATAAAGGTATTCTGTATTCTTCTATACACCTGACAGCTCAGGTGTCCACAAAGGTTCCAGGTCTAAACACAGAAAAAAAGAGGCTGATCATCTGTTGGATCTATTCAAGCATCGTGTAATCGTCTTGTAATCATCTTGACACTGTTTCATGCCGTGAAGCAACATGTAATACTGTCGTGTTTCATCTACATTATAGGAAGAGAGAATACATGAATTTGTTTCGCTCATGTTGGACAGTTTGGAATGCCAGAAAATTAAATCATTAAAGAAACATATACATGAATCAATGCTCATTTGAAATACAGAAATTTGGCTGTAAAAAAAACTCCTATATGTTTACATGTTTTTAGTATTCAGCTCACGTTTGAACGTTCCCCCGTCACGTGACGAGGGGCAGCGCTGCTTCCGTAAAAGCGGAAGTGGTCGCTGTGTTGTTGCACCAGAGCTGCTGTCATGTGATAACTCGTCCGAGAGGCTACTGCGAGACAGTGGCTTCCTACCTTTAGATGAGGCTCAAATAAAACCGCACAGGAGCGAAGTTTTATGTTTGTAGAAGAAGGAGGACGCGGCTGGTTTGTGACGGACAGCAGGGACGCTGGGGTTGTGTAGTTTGACCCCTCGGACGCTGCCATGGGTTGCTGTTACAGCAGCGAGAACGAGACCCCGAGTCAGGTTAGTTAGCTGCTAGCTGGCTAAAACCCTAAAACACTACATGTTTTATGGACAACGGAATCGCCTACTAGTATTTTTATTTGTATGAGGGTGTTTCTTGCAAAAAAAACCCTCAGAGTAAAAGCTTAATACGTGACCAAGCTGTCGGTTTTTAACAGTTTATGCAGTGACACCTAATAGCAGCATTAGCTTGCTACTCAAAGCCTCCCAGACAGGCCTGACCCCAGGCAGCCTGTGAAGTTGACACAAATGAAAACATGACAGATTCGAATGGCTTTACAGATTTGACGGCAAAAAAAAAAACTAGTTTGAAGAACCGTATTTGTTAAGCAACTTTAAACACCGTATGGCTTTGTAATTTAGGGCTTAGTTACAGTCTTTCCTCGAACAAAATAGCTTTAAAGAGATCTAGAAAGCAGTGAATTAGTTACTTCTACATGACTAAATGCTCAAATATGACCTGAACAACAGGTCTACCTAAAACAAAAGTGATTGATGTTCTGCATACCATCTTGATGTTTGTTTTTTTTAATGTCATATGATCCTGAAGATTCCCAGCTATTTTTAGTTTCGGGAAACAAGTCAGTTCTTCCTTCTTGCAGAGTATCTGCCCTCGTATGCAGTTTGTCTTATCTTGGTAGCATTAAAGTCAAAGGCAGTTCTTTCACTGTCTGTCTGCTATAGGGCTGCAACTGCTCATTATTTTAGTTTTTGATACATTTGTTGATCATGTACTTGATTAATAAACTGTTTGCTTGGTCTAGTGTTTGAAAATGGTGAAACGGGTCCATCTATATTTCCCAAAGTTCAAGATGGTGTCTTTAAATGTCTTGTTTTGACCACCACCCAAAAATATTAATTTCACTGTCACTGAGGAGTAAATACTCAAATTTAAGGAGTTTAAATCAGAAGATAATAGATTTTTAAATATATTTATATATATTTTAAGAAGTTACTAAAGCACATAAATTACTTATCACAGTAGCTGGCAATTAATTTAATAGTTGATAGCTAACTGAATATTCATCTAATTGTTGGAAGTGTACTATGTTTCTCGGAAACTAACTTTCACCGTAATTGTAAAGGAATAATTGCTAGGATTGTGTATTGACATGAGTGTTGTTGAAAAAAAACCATTGCTATGATTATTGAACTTACTCCTCAAGCTTTTGTCACAGCATTTATTTTTCATTTAGTCATTTAATTAATTAATACTTTATTTCATCTCATAGTCTCAATTACCATGTTTTATTATGATTAGGTTCTTACTGAATAGAAAGTAGTAGATAAGGCCTTTTTTTTTGGCCCTTGTTTCTTTTGTATTTAATTGCTGCTCAACTGTACCATAATTGTCACAATGACATGGGCTGAAAGCTTCCTTATCATTCACTTATATTCTGATCAACCTGTCTTAGGACCCTGACGAGAGTAAGCCGCTGATCCCCCACCCAAACCCTGTCAGCAAACCCCCAAATGGGACGGACTGGATCACTACCAGTGTCCCCTCAGCTCGGACAGATGAACAAGCCCTTCTTACATCCATCCTGACGAAGACAGCACAGTAAGACACTTCCTACATGCAACCGCAGAGTCGGCATGTATTACCTGACAGTACAATTATAGGTATTGTGAGAAAAAAAACATGTCATTATGTCCTCTCTTACAGGAACATCATTGATGTCTCAGCAGCAGACTCAGTCATGATGGAGCAGCATGAATACATGGACAAAGCTCGGCAATACAGGTGTGTGGAAGCAGTGATTCGCTACAGAGGAATGACATTTTTAGTTTTGTTTGGGAATTACCTGGGTCTTTCCCATAAAATAGCTTTTAAAATGAGATGGAAAAGTCTGTCTTTACCTTATCCAGTTCTAAGAGTTGTTGACCAGCAGAGTGACAGGTAGCTGTAAAGATCCATGTGATGTTTGAGCCATATAATGATACCCTTCTCGTGTACAAAATGTAAAGTTTAAAGTTTTGCAGTATGTGCAACTTGTGGCGCTTCAGTCTGTTGTATTTTCTGGCTATATGTCACTAATGTATGATTTGTGGAAGTAATTTGAACTAAAGAGTTCAGATGACCCAAATGCTGTATTGAAAGGTGAGCCAGTTGTACATACAGAGGTATGTAAACAACAGATTTCAACACCAACCCAACGATTTAAGGAGGCCATGGGAGAAGTGATTTAACCAAAAAATTGCAACAGTGTTGGCCTTTTACCTTAAACCTAATCCTCTGATCCAGTGACATCTAATGGCACTTGGATTGTTTCTACCAAACAGAGCATTTTAGTTTTAGACTGAAATACAGATGCAGATTAAACTGTTGGTTCTCAAAACACAGCAATCTATTTCAAGAGACGAGACTATATGTGCGAGACAAAGTTTGCTTTACCTCTGAACTGCAGTGCAGCTGATGACACTGCAACAGCCCCAGTAAGCTTCTGTTGTTTTGTTGTTGTTTTGTTGTTGTTGTTCTAGTACAAAGTTGGCTGTATTGAGCACCAGCCTGCCCCAGAAGAAAGCCCTCGCTCTCCCGTCCCTCACCAGCCAGCCCCACCAAGTGCTTGCGAGTGACCTGGTGCCATACTCGGACGTTCAGCAGGTAATCATACTGTAGCACATTAGATCGACTCTTGGAAACAGTGTGCAACATGTGGGGCTGTGTGGTCTTTGAGTGTTGGACTTAAAATGGATCTTAAAGATACCTAATGCTTTCATGTTGCCCACTTAATTTAAAGGTATTATTTTGGTTATACATGAGGGCTGTGTATTGGCAAGAATTGGTGATACGACATGCATTGTGATACAAGGGTTACACTTAAATATATTGCTGTGCTTTAAGCATGGCAGTATATTACCATTTTTAAAAATACATTTTTAGGATACATTATTTTTTTCTATTTTTTGCATTCAGAATGGTTAGATCTGTGTTTGCATTCTCCTCAGTCCCTTTAACATCTATTGTAACAGTACCACTTCCTGTGCAATCTGAACAATGCATGTAAGCTACAAAATAAAAATCAGTTCAGTATCAGACAACATAATGTTGCACAGCGTATCAATATTTTCTGACTTCCTATTCATGCGCAGCTGACCAGACTCAGTAAACTTGTTTATTTGACTTCTCTTGAACATTTTATCAAACTCTTCTTCTTTCTTTGCAGGTGGGCAAGATAGCAGCTTACGCTTACAGTGCAATCTCTCAGATCAAAGTGGATGCTAAAGAAGACCTGGTGGTCCAGTTTGCCATTCCCTGATTCGGCGACTCTGGCCTGCACATTGTTCCTCCCATCCCACTCTCTCTGTGTCACTCCTGCATCCTCAAACTCCAGCCCACCGTTTATTAAAGCATTTTGGTCCTTGTGCTTCTTAGCTATGCCTCTAACTGCTACAAAGACAGAGACAATGTAGGATTTCACCCTATGACTGTCCTTTTAGTGTAATTAATTATGGGCCGGTGACAAATCGTCTATGGGCAACAGAAGATGGTTTACTGTTGGTGGATATGATCTCTTACTTACAAGAACAAGGCCTCCTCTGTACGTAATGCATGGATTACAGGCTTTGTCAGAACACGCTGTGGACAACATATCATTCATCAATCATTCAATCGATGATCTCTCTAAGTTTTATAAACGGTTTTCGGGGCTGTTTCAATATGTTGCTTTTGTTAGAATCCCTATCTGATTTTTGAAGGCATTGAGGTATAAATAGTGGAATCACCTGGGAGGGAGCTGCAGATTTATGGCCAAAGGCATTTGTGTATTTGATATAATCGCCACTGGAACAAAAGAAATGAGTAATCTATAGGGCATGGATTAATTGAATTCATCACAGCACCATAGTGTCAGGTGTAGTCGATGTACAGTTTAGCCATTCACCAAGATAAAAAGAAAAAAACTTGCAACATGAGTAAATGTTTGCACTTCATATACATGTTCCTCAGTCTTTTTTCTTAAACAGCAAAAACTAGCCAAAAAGGGTGTATATGGAGTGAATATAAAGATGTCATTATATTTTTGATGGCTGTAATACTGTAGTTCTGATGTTTGCTGATAATCTGGTGTCGCTCTGCTCCGAGAAACCACCATAAACCACAGTACCAACCTGGCTGGAGTACATTTCATTGAGATTTCACTAATAATGTTTAAAAACTGATTAGTAAAACAGGTTGGATTGGTAATTTTAACATCCCTTGTGTAATATGATACTCCAGTTGACACCGAATCAAGAGTCACTTGTCCGTGACTGTTATTCTCTGGTGGGTGAGGATGCAAACACAAACAGGGGGGGGGGGCGCTGGGTGGGCCTACTGATGTTGCTGGGAGCAGGACATGACGGAGCTTTCTTGGGACACAAGTTCTCGAGTTTACAGACAGTGGTGTGTCCTCTACAGTTTTCTAGCACTAAGGAATTAGTGGGCAGACTCTTTAAATCATATTCCAAAAGTTCACACATTTGCTAGCAGTGGAGGCGTTCAGAGATGGGGTTTGGGGGGGTGCAGGGACAGATGTTGTGTATTCATGCCTTTGTACAGAATTTTCTGGTTGACTATAAAAACAGATGATGGATTGTATGAAGTTCCTCTTTTTGTAGAGAGCTCATTGGTCAGGATTGGCTAAGATGTTGTGGTAAAGAGGTTTTGTTTTTTTTTTTTGTTTTTTTTTTGGAAACACAAGAACACTTTTAAGGCCTGCGTTTATTAGCTTTTAAATGAAGCTTTTCGCTGCAGATTGTAATATGATTGAGTTGTTCATATTAATCAGAAACTAACCATTGTAGCAGTGTGGGGGAGCGTTAACACTCTATGTACCACAGCAGATAAAACGATCCGAGACCTTTTTGTGATTATTTATTTGTGTTTTTAAGTGTATATTTGCTCTTCGGAGGAGAGCGCAAGACTGTATGCGTGAGCAGGGAGCATGGTGAGCCGCTCCGGAGTCTCTAAAGGGATTATCTGCAAGGCTGTGATTATTTAAACCACGCAACTGATTTGAGCTTTTTGCAATGGGTTCTTGGCATTTTTTTCTGTTTTGTTTGTTACTCAAATGTGTAATACTACCTGAAATATGTTTGTAATATCTTAGGCTAGTACCAAAAAGTTTTAAGACTTTTTTTTTTCTTTTTTTGGTTTAATTAATTCATTAAAGACTTTCAACAAAGCACTCACGTTTTATTAAATAACTTCCACATGCTCATAGCTGAGCAATAGTTGGTTAACTAATGTTACAGAGATAACAGTAATAACTTTTCGGCAGCTTTGTTATGACTAGATAATTGAAAGCATTTGTGTAACCCACACCCATACCAGATATAGGGCTGATCAGTGATGTTTGCCTCTTTATAACTGTATAACAAATAATGAACCCCTTGAGCTCAAGGTCATTTTTCTCCAAATTCATTCAGTAACAGCTCCATAACTGTGAGGTCAAAATACTCAACCGTGAGCTTGATGGATGTGACACAGTTGGAAAAAAATCTTGTCCAATCACCAGGCCAGAGTGAGATTTGAAAAACTAGTACAAAATTAACATTCTTACTTCTGCCTAATCAAAAGTTTGGTGCAAATAACAGCCTTTCAACAATGATTTGGTCAAACTGATTTTATTGAACCTGTTTTAACAATTCTAAACTTCAGTTAGAAGAAATCTGATGCAACAGTGTCCATTTGTCATGATAATACTTGGCGGCTTCCCCACCTGCAGGGTGGAAGGGGCCACAAACCTACGATTGTTTTGCATGGATAAATCAGTGACGACTTCTTTTGTCAAACATTGGACCGAAAAAATTAAGAACAATATTTAACACTATTTTCACTACAAATGCAAATCTAACACTCCAGCTCTGTTCATGTTTAGAGCAGCAACATAAAATCACTTTTTGCTGTAGCTAAGTTATTTATTGCTTCATAATATAATTTACAAGCAAAGGGGGCAAAAATGCAATTCATCAACGAAATGATTAAAGTCAGGGTTTACAGACTTGTTGAGTAAACTACAAAAGAAATAAACTTGTGGCCCAAACTGGAAGGAGGAGGACTCCTGCTCCTTGTGTGACTCCTCACACTATAGAGAACTCCTCACTATAATCCAGTAACTCTAAGCTACTAATATCCACTGGTAGGTGTCATAAGAATACGAAAATACGACTAATAACCTGCTAGTAGATACAGGAAAAACTGCAGACTTACAGAATTCCCAAGAATACCCAAGGACAACGAGAGGCACAGAGATGAGCTGCTGGCATTAAATCACAGCTGCCAGGACTGACATATATAAGGTGCACTATTAAACCAAGTGAAGTGATTGCTCCAGCCTGACTGGAGCACAGAACTGGGCTGCATTTCAGTCACAAGGAGAGAGACAAGGGCACATATAGTAATATCAATATATGTAGCATTCAAGATGAGTTAATGACAAAGAAGAACGATGCAAGGCCACCAAGAGCTGTACCAACAAACATACATGTTCAACAATTAGTTTTCCAGCAGTTCATGTTGAGCACAGGACAATCAGGTTGAACTATGATTTCAACAAACCCCAATGGAGAAGAGCTCTCATTGCTTGAGAGTCTCCTTATTGCTTCTGCCGCAGTGATGCCAGATCTGTGCCAAGACTCTCTCTTGCCGTGTCACAGCACTGAAGTCCATCATCTTTAACTGAGGCAAAACAGAAATCACACGATTCCTACACAGAGAAAGATGGACATAAATAGTAAAATGCACCTCTTGTAGGAATCCATATAGAAAAAAAGTCCTCTAATAAAAATCAAGTTTTTACTTTGATAAAATGTCCATACAGTAAAAACTCTATAGAGACACAGCATGAGCGAAAAAAACAGTCAGCACCATGGCTGTGCATTTCCATCTTCAAACTGCACAGATTACTCCATTTATTTGCAGGGTGGGGCTTCCTACATCCCTATTCTTCTTTTTCAGAATTGATTCCACTTCACATGTATCCAGTATGGTTGAGTTCGTTCAATATTACAGCTTATCATTAGAGTAGGTGAGCAGATGTGCTTCAGCAGCAATGAACAGCAGTTTTTCGGGCACAAATGTGTTCTTTTACAGGGGGGAAAAATCTAAATATGCAACTTTGATACACAGAAATGAGTTTAAAGAATTACAGTATATCAACAATCAAAGGGGTCTGAAGAGGCCTCTAGATATGCAAACAAAATAAAAAGTAGATCTTGTCTATACGTCATTGCGCCTTAGTTTATGCTACAAATTAATTAAAAAGCTGCATTGATTTGGGATTAAACAGTTCATTAGAATATAGATTAAACCAGCAGCACCTCTTTCTGCAGATGAGCCAGCAGTCACTGGAATCTGTGTTTGTAACCAGTGTTGCTATGCAGACTAAGATATGTAATATGAACCTGATCTCCATTCAGCCACCTGTTACAATGTTATGCACCTAAATGCTTGCCAAACATCTCACATACACACTCACAGTATGATTGCACTCTGGAGCAATCCTTCTCTTGACGCCTCTGAAGTATACGACAGTATGAGGTGCTGACTGTATTTGGTTCTGTGAACTGCAACGAACTGTGGGTTACTGCTGGTGGGCGCTTTGCTCAATAATTCAAACACGAAACGGTAGCTTAAAAGCAAAAGTATAATTTCATCGCTCAGCAGTGTGTATGTGTGTGTGTGTTTGAATTGGTCAAGGATCACTCCACCTGTAAGCCTTGTTGGTTTCTATGGCATTTCCATGTAGAGTGATAGAGTGTAGATGTGGCAGCACTCCCAGCCTGTCCACCTCTGACATTATAAAAATGTTGTTGCCGTGAAGATATAACACACGCAGTGCTCGTAGTTCGCCCAAAACCTGCAACACATGTACACAAATTGCAGATGTGCTGTGACGCACATTTAACCAACAAGAGGCACCCATGCAGTGATTTAAAAAAAGAAAATGATATGAGCTGATCCCCACACACACATCTCTCTATAAAACAAAAACATCCTATTATGACTGAGTCAACCCTCAATGAAAAAGCTGCTCAAATGCAGTAGAGTCAGAAAGAAGGAAAGCTGAGCAACTGTGAGCCAGGCAGAGGAAACTCACTGGGTCTACATGTGTGATTTTGTTAAAGGACAGATCCAGCCAGGCCAGATGTGATGGCTCAGCCAGGAAGTGGCAAACCGTCTTCTGGAGGTCATAAAGGTCGGTGATGATGTTGTTGTTGAGACGCAGGGAGCAGCTTAGGTATTTCATCTCTGAATTTCTCTGTAAAGGCCGCAGACCGCTGCTGGGTTCCTCTGTCCACGCATCTAAAACCACAAAGAAAATAGACACAGTGAACATTAAGTACAGGGTTGTCAGTTTGTTTTGTTTTGTTTAATGTTTTAGGGTGCACTTTGTTTTAAGGTTGTACATTAATCAGTTTATTAAAGAAACATGAACTTCAAAACACAAAAATATGTGGTTATACATTTATTTATTGAAATGATAAAATGCACACCCTATACACATGCTGTAGATACACTAAAAATGTCTTTCTGCTGAATATTCATGTCATTATTTTGGGGATATTGCTCAGTCAATTGCAATGTGCAGCCAAGAGCTGTAACACTGTGGAAATAATACAGCCAATAAACAACAGTGCCATGAGGATAAAATTAAAGTGCCTGGAAGAACATGACAGAGATTACTACCTGTCAGACTGCTGATATTTTTGAAGGACAAGTCCACTGGAGCTCCATCCATAGTCACACCTGTGACAGACTCACTGACCTGTGAGGTGATAATATGGTTAAAAAAAAAAAACTTGCACCAGTGACTATCAAACTTCAGTAACAAGTGAGTTTACACACATGCATTGCATATTATGGTAAAACGCACTTTACAGATATCCTGTTTTGCAGCAATAAGTCATACTTACACATGGTTGGGATGCACTCAAGCCTACACACTAAGTTATCAAAATTAGCTGACCCATTCAATATCATCATAAACGTACTTACCCACAATGTAGGGGAACATACACCAGTCACTTCATTTAACGTCGTGGTAGGTTATTTGCTGTAAATAATAATGATAAAAATAAACTCCTTGACGGCTTTGCTGAATATTAAGCTAACTTAGAGACAACAACCTGTTGCTAAGCAAACAAACAAGTACATTATGGGAGTTGTAGTTTGGTTGTACACATTGACTACCTATAATATGATTAAATCGGGCTTTCCTGCAGGATTTTAATAAAATATGAATATTTGGTGACTCATAATTACTCTTTAATTAATTAATTAATTCAATGCGGTGTGTGTTGGCGTCTGTGTATGAAATCTCTCCTTCTTGCTGGGATAAATTCAGATTGTATCATCTGGAGGGACGCTCTGCTGTGATTGGTGGTTAAATTCAGGCGAGGTTGGTGATTGGTTGTTCGGATTAAAGTAGGCTGGACAGACAGACAACAGAGTTGATCCAATCCACCAGCCAACTTTTGAATTGCACTCCGGCGTACACTGAAATTCATACAATGGACTCAGGGCAGGCGACGCCAGCAGTCAGCAATAATATTAAATCGGATCACTGACACTAAAATCAATTAAAGTCAATTTAAATCATAGGGGACTTTATTTAGTTGCCCCTCCCCGCCTGTTCAAAAAGCAAGCGGCCGACGTCAGCGCAACTTCCGGCCATGAAACCAATCAGCTTCTGCTGTTTTCAGACGCGTCGATACGTGGAAGCGGATTGGTTATTTCAATCTTTATCAACCTTTTTTGAATTTTTGTCTCGTTTCATGACGGAACTGTTTATATCGTAGCAGTAGCTCCATGCAGTTTGGTAGAAGAGCTGCACCTCTATTTTGGTAGACAAACTACGAAGAATACTACGCAGAACGAGGTTGTATGGTGAGTTACTGCTTGAAAGCAATATTTTATTGTCGTTGGCACATTAGATCGCCGTTACTTTTTACTCTTAAGAATACAGTTACCCTCCTTTAGCGTGACAGTAAATTAACTGTTAGTAAGCGAATGTCAATGTAAACGTAACCGTGCGAAAACAAAGGTGACATGTTCTATGTACATTAACAAGAAGAATTATCTTTAGGTTTAATTACAGAATTTGGTTGGTTGTGGATGAGAATATGTTGCGCAGTTACGTTAGTCTGTGCCCCTCCGTTAGCTTGACAATGCTAGCTGCTTATTTTTTATTTTATCTGCTTTCCTTCTAGGTCGAAAACCTCTTTTTTTGAGCCAAAATGGCGATTAACGTAGCCGTTAAGGCTCTTCTCGGTTGGGTAAGTTGATAGTGATTCTAGTTGTAAAATATAATGAAAGTATTACAGTATGTTAGACTGATTTGATTTCAGGTTGTATGAACCTAGTTCTCAAACTATCGTTTTACAGGTCAACAGTATCAAACTGTCCGAGAGAGAAATCACAATCGACGATTTGCAAGATGGGACAATCTTACTGAAACTTGTTTACATGCTGTAAGTAGGAGCAGCGCGTTGAAATATTTGGTCTGTGTAAACAAGGAAAGGGCAGTGACTGGTGAAGCACATTTTAAACATGCTTCTCCTGTGGGTGGGTCCTAGGAAATACCAAGATGCTGATTCCCTTTTCTAAACATTTTTTTCTTATCTTTCTTATCTTTGTGTCATGTCAGAAAAAAGGACTCCAGCTCCTGTCTCAGTGATTGCATTGGGGATCGGTACAGACTCATTGCAGAGTTTCTGGAAAGTGAGTTTTTCTTTTCTTTTTAAAATGTCTTGAGATGGTGTTTTTTATGTGTGATGTTTATTGTAGGGTGTATAAAGTGTCTAGCTTCATCTTAGACTGCTGTATCACACTTCTATGAGGATTTATTTCCTTCAATTTCATGCGTTAAGAAGGACTGCATGTGTCCTACTTGTCAAGTCAATTCCTAGATGATAGATATCGTTTTCTCTGACTTAAACTTCAGATCTTTAGCATCTTTGACAACGCCGTGCATTACTGTTGGGTGTGGTCTAACGTACGCCCTGCTTCACCTGTAAAAATGCCAGGTGCTGATGTCAGGGAGCTAATAACGCACCGTCAATACTGCTTATTCTGTTTATGTTCAGTGAGTCTTTAAGTCTTACAAGCAGAAACTTTTGAATTTTGCTATTCTTTCTGAATCAATTTGTATCTCTGTATTTTGTTTCTTAGGGGATTGTAGATTTAATGCAGCCAAAGGCACTTCTTTATCTTGGGACAACTTAAGAGATGGCTTCAACCCAACAGGCGAAATCGCAAAGGTACAGCATAACTAGTATTGAATAACTGTAATAAAAGACAAATAAACACAGACCCATTCTGATATTTTTTTGTTTTATCACCAGGTGCTTTTGCTACTCATATATCATGACATGATGAATGACCGCTGCACTCTGAACATGTTGGATTGCGATGTAGAGGTAACTAAGCAGTGAGACATTTTCTAGTTTGCTGCTGTGTTTTGTGCCTACAGCTTCTTTCATTATAGATTTATGTTGTGCTACAATGGAATTGTGTGCTAATGTATATATTTGCATTCTGTTAGAGAGAACTAGCAAACCTTACTGGTTCTTTTGTGATGGAGAATGATGGCTGTGTTTATCTGAGCGATGGACTTGATGCCTACTTGGCAAGGAAATGTAAGTCTCACACACACACACACACAAAGCAGCTGTATAACTCAATTTTTTCAACTTGGATATAACCTGAAAACTCTGAACTGTGTCTCAGATTTGCCTGTCTCTCGTGAAATATTTGACCGGTCAGCAACCACCTCTACCTCCAACGTATCAAGTGTCTCCTTATTTTCGGATGATGACTCTCCTGTCTTCCGTCGCACAAAGAAAATCACATTTATGGACATGGAAACTGTTGCTTCTTCCTCTGTCAGGTATTGCTGTAGACTTTAATTTAATCCAACATTTCCTAATAATATTCCTCCTATGTCCGTAAGATAAATTTTATGAGCAATGTCAATCCAAACTCCTTTTTATATCTGTGTAGGTAAGTCCACTGGATGTTATGTTTTTGACTATTCTCCTTTATCTTGTTCATCTGCTTTTATTCCCACAGTAAATCTCCTCTGGAGGACATTATGAACACACCCAAGTTTCAGATGAGGAAAATGCAACGACAGATCATCAAGGATAGAGACTACAGAGACAGTTTGGAGAGGGAGTTGGCCAGCAAGATCGCGCTCATTGCACAGAGAGGTAACACATTTGAATGTCTGTGTTTTGATAACGAAAAGGTTTATAAGAGAGACTGGCAAAAGTTTATTTTCACTCTTTCTTTTCCAACCTGAATTTTACAAACTTGGAAGGTTATGGCAAAGTAGTGCTGAAAGTGTACACTGTAGTTAAATACATATGTTATGTCGGTATTATGAATTGTAATATCTGCCTTTTAATGTTTGTTTTGGTGTAGTAGTGTTTCATCTTGTGTTCAAATTAAACTTAAGCTCCCTTTTAATTGTCTTTTTTTCAGAGTCTCATATTAACCAGCTGCAGTTCCGCCTTGATAAGCTGAAAGAAGATCAAGGTGATCAGGAGCAGGTTACCAGAGAACAACTCAGTGAGCTTGAAAGCAAGAACAACACGTAAGTATCCCAGAACAGAGCTAAGATAATGCTTAAGGACTGTTTTTAAAAGCACAATTAAGTCCCATTCATTAATACATGCAAGAGCTTAACCACTTTGTAAATTAAAGATGTGTCTTCAGGTTTAGTTCCTCAATGTAGGACTGATTTTTTTTGTGGTAGTATATTTACTTCTACAGGCTGTGACACTTCCTCTCAGACAGTCCTTTCTCACACATAAGATAAAAAGTGAACACACTGAGCTAGTGGCCCATAGGTTACATTGTTTTCAACCTTTTAGCAAGGTTATAGCCATATCCTAATGGCTAATACATTTTTGTAATATAGTTGTCAGCGTGCATTATTTAAAGTGTACCAAGTCTTTGATTTTGTATGCAGAAAGAGTATCAAGAAAATCTTTATTTCTTGCCTGAAGAGTTTGTTTTAAAAGTGATTGCAACTTTTAATTTAATTTTTTATTTATTTTTTTTTCATCTCAGGTTACAAATGCGTCTTAATGAGATGTTAAAGCAAAATAAAGATTTCAAGAGTACTACCTCGCTTATGGAGCGCAAAGTGGATGAGCTTACAGACGAAAATGGAATGCTTTCTTCTCAGGTAAAAAGTCACGTACAAACTCTTTTCTAAGGTAAATTCAGTCTTGTTGTGAATGAGTCGCTTTGTTTCTTGATTGATGCCATTAGCAAGTTGCTTGATGTCCTCCCAGATTGTGTTCTTCAAATATTTGCAATCTGGAATATTTTCATCTTGATTGTCCATGCAGTAAATGTGCTGTTACTTTTTACTTTGCACGCATCTCTTGCATATCTGTCCATCTTGTGAGATCACTCATGTGTTTCTTTCTAGTTTCAACATTCTAGTTTCTGTCCACAAAGGTTTTTGTGTACTTTTTTTTTCCTTTTTTGAATTAAGAGTCTATAGACGGAGAGTATTGCATGCTGTCCATACTGTAAAGCAATTTTCTGATATTGGGCTATCTAAATAAATGGGAGTTCTTGCTAGTTGGGGGTTAGTAATCAGTAACAGTTGTGTTTCCTAAATTAAATGACTCTAGCACTAGTAGCAAGCCTTCGACATTGGCAGGAGCCACATGTGTTAACGTTGAGACCAAAACTTTCACTCAATCACGTTTTTTTTTTTTAAACCTTCCTTTGAATATTTTCTCAGATGAGGGCAGTATGTTCAAAGTTGGCCGTCTTTGAGGAAGAAGTTGGTCGACTGACAAATAATGAAGCATCTGCTCAGGAGGAGTGGAGAAACAAAACAGACCACCTCCAGTCTGAGCTCAACCAAGCAACTGCTCAAAAGGTATGCGATAAATTCATAAAGGAATTGTGTATCTACTGTTTTTGATTCGTTCTAGCAATTCCGTGTTTTATAACAATATTAAATTATTGTTTAAAGGATTTGCCATTGTTGTGTTATGTTATGTAATGACAGATAACAAATTCTTTACACTGAAAACAATACTTAATGTGCAGTGATGCTCCAGGGCTCTTAGTTGTTGGATTGTCAGATATTATTTTTATTTTTATTTTTATTTGTTTAAGGCAAAAAGGTAAAAAGACGATGTAGAGACATAATCATTTATTAAGTATTTGTAAAGAAAAGTGCTTTCATGTTTTATTCATAAAGAACAGGATGAGTTTTGTGTTAATCAAGATAAATTGTTGTACTTCTGTTGTTCTGATAACATTTTCAGTTCCACACAAAGGGATTTAATATCCTGTCTCTCCTTTATTCTCAGGAGCTCCTGACAGAACAAATTCAGATCCTCCAATCAAAGATTTCCTGTTTGGAGGATGAAATAAGCAAGGCCTCTAAGGAAGAAGTAGGAGAGAATATGGGCCCTGTAATGGAGGTGAGGAGCATAATAAAGTAGAACCTAACAACTGCTTTATAAAACTCAAAATATAAATGTCCATTTTCTCAAATTTCAAAATCCATTTTGTAATTTTAATGGTAACTAACTATCTTTTCGTCTTAAATTTCCAGAGAGCAACTTTGGAGGCTGAAATCAATGGCTTGAAGAATGAGCTGGAGATCACATGTTGCTCCCTGGAAAAGGCTGAGGTGGAGATTCACTCTAAAACTCAGCAGATAGCTGAGTACCAACAAGAAATTACTCAACATAAAGAGCTCCTGAAGCAGCAAAAGTCCCAAACTGAAGAAGTGATTCAAGCCAAGGATGAAATTTTGGACAAGCTCCAGAAAGAGCTAACTGAAGAGAGAGCGATTCTTCAGCAACAGATCCAGGATCTCAAGCTTCAACTTGAGCAAGTTGAGCAACAGAAAACAGAGCAGATGACCAGGCTGCAGCAGCATATTGATGCTTGTGAGCAAGAAATTGGAAAACTAAAGGAAATGAAGAAAGAGAAGGAAGATCTTCTTCATCAGACTGATGAAAAGGTGAAGGACCTTGAAACAAAGTTATCTGCCACAACTTCTCTGTTAGGTGATAAAGAGCAACAAATTAAAAGTCTCAAAGAGGAAGTTGATTTGCTTATAGATGAAACTAAAAAACACAAGAATGAAATTCAAACCAAAGAAGAAGCACTTGCCAAATTACTTCTGGAGAAATCAAATGAACAAGAATTTCTTCAAAATACAATCCAGACCTTAACAACCCAAGTGGAAGACCTTAGCTCAGTGCTCAAACAGGCCGAGCAGGAAATTCAACTTAAACAAGACCTACTGGCTAAAACCCAACAAGAGAATGTCCAACAAATCGAGGTACTTCAACAACAGATGTTAGACTCTGAAGAGAAGGTACAGAAACTAAAGGCAGGGATCCAAGAAAAGAATGAGCAGCTTGTATTGCTAAAGAATGCCAGCTCTCAACAGTCTGAATGTCTGGAGGAAGAGATTAAAATGCTAAAAGGCCAACAAGAAAGTCTGACTGAATCTTGCAGAAAGGCTGAGGAGCAAGTTGTGGCTCAGCAGGCGATCCTTACAAAGCAGCAGCAGGATAGTGTTCTTCAGACAGAGCTCCTGCAACAGCAACTGTCTGCTTCTGAGAAGGAGGTAAAGAGCATGAAGGATGAGATCCAGACTAAAGAGGAACAGATTATACTGCTGAAAAATCAAGGTTCTCAGCAAGCAGAACTACTGCA